GATAGGGTGCACATTTATACTTCGATTCATTAAAAGAACACCTAGGTCACCTAAAATATGGTGGTGTCCTCAATCTGCAGCTTCGGAGCCTGCTCAGAGAGGTCATGCGGCTTGCTGAAGTTCGCCCAGCTGGTCAGGGTGGGGCCAAGGCTTGAACCTGGGGAAGCGTTTAAGGCAGGGGAGTTCCATTTCAGCTGGGCGAGGAGCTGGCAGGACCCAGCCTAGAAGCAGCCCCCCTTCCCAGCTGGTTTCAACTGCTCTTCCCACTGCGGGTGAGCTAGCTGGCAGCTGTACCTGACTCCCATTGGACCACCTGGGACAAGCCAGGTGGATAGTGGATCTGCTAGAAGCTCTCCTCCTAGAGTTCTCACTCTTACACCCATTATCCAGTAGCCGTGCTCCTTCCTGAAGCACCTTCCCCCAGCCTCCACACACCATGTCAGCATCCTCCTCCTTCCTCAAAGTGTCATTTCTTTCCCGATTGCTTTGGGCTTCCCGCCACTCCTCTGCCCATCTCTCATCTGTATCCACATCCTTTAACCCCTGCCCGGCCCCCAGCGCAGTCACCTGGCGGGGAGGCGGGGAGCCACGACCCAGGAAGGCCTTGGTGGAGAGTGGGCCAGGGAAGGAAGAGGTGGGTCTGGGGGAAGAATCCACAGCCTCCTCAGAGGGGAGAGGTGCAGGCTTACGGGCCGGGCCGAAGAAGTAGATTCTGGGTGTGGCTGGGTGTGACCTAGGTTGTCATTTACTGTGTGTAATGACATTTTCTGGATCTCCCTCTAGTTCTCCAGGGAAGCATATGATTTTCATTTTTTTTTTAATTGTGGTAAAATATGCGTAACATAAAATTGGCCATTTTAGCCACTTTTACGTGTACTTTTAACCACTCTGAGCAGCAGTACGTGTATTCATGTTGTTGTGCAACCATCACCACCATTGATTTCTAGAACTTTTTTTTATAAGATTTTTTATTTATTTGAGAGAGAGAGAATGAGAGACAGAGAGCATGAGAGGGAGGAGGGTCAGAGGGAGAAGCAGACTCCCTGCCGAGCAGGGAGCCCAATGCGGGACTCGATCCAGGGACTCCAGGATCATGACCTGAGCCGAAGGCAGCCGCTTAACCAACTGAGCTACCCAGGCGCCCCAATTTCTAGAACTTTTAAAATCTTCTCAAACTGAAACTCTATACCCATTAAATACTCCCCATTCCTGCCTCCCCAGACCGTGGCACCCACCATTCAACTTTGGCCTCTATGAATTTGCCTCCTCTAGGGACCTCACGTCACACAGTATTTGTTCTTTTGTGTCTGCCTGAATTCACTTAGCGTCTTGTCTTCAAGGTTCACCCACGTGGTAGCGTGTGTCAGAATTTCCTTCCTAATTTAAGGGCTGAAAAATATCCCAATTTAAGTTTATACAATATTTTGTTTATCCGTTCTTCTGTGGATGGACACTTGGGTTGTTTCCACCTTCTGGCTGTTGTGAATAACGCTACAGTGAACCTCAGCTACAAGTATTTTGTGCAGGTGTCTGGTTTTAGTGCTTTGGGGTAGGTACCTAGGAGCAGGGTTGCTCGGTCATATGGCGATTCTACGTTTTACATTTGGAGGAATGTTTTCCACGGCAGGTGCGCCATTTTACATTCCCAGCAGCAATGTCAGGAGGTTCCCGTTTTTCCATATCCTCACCAACACTTACTATTTTCAGTTTTTAAACATCTATGTGTTTTTACTGTAGCCATATGAAGAAGTGTAGGGTGGGGCGCCTGGGTGGCTCAGTCGTTAAGGGGCTGCCTTCGGCTCAGGTCATGATCCCAGAGTCCTGGGATCGAGCCCCGCATCCGGCTCCCTGCTCGGCGGGAAGCCTGCTTCTCCCTCTCCCCCTGCTTGTGTTCCTGCTCTCGCTGTCTCTCTGTCAAATAAATAAATAAAATCTTAAAAAAAAAAAAAGTGTAGGGTGGTATCTCATGTTGGTTTTGAGTTGCATTTCCCTAATGACTGATGATGATGAGCATCTTTTCTTGTACTTATTGGCCATTTGTATATTTTCTTTGGAGAAATGTTTACTCAAGTCCTTTGCCCATTTTCTAATTAGGTTGTTTGTATTTTTGTTGTTGTTATAGGAGTTCTGGATATCAAACCCTTGTCAGATGTATGCTTTGGGAATATTTTCTTCCATTCCGTGTACTTTCTTTTCACTCTCTTGATAGTGTCCTCTGGTACACCAAAGTTTTTAATTTTGATGAAGTTCAGTTGATTTTTTCTCTTGCTGTTTATGCTTTTGGTGTCATGGTTAAGAATCCGTCACTAGGGGCGCCTGGCTGGCTCCGTTGGTGGAGCGTGTGACACTGGATCTCAGGGTTGTGACTTTGAGCCCCATGTTGGGTGTAAGGATTACTTAAAAATAGAAAATCCAGGGGCACCTGGGCGGCTCAGTCGTTAAGCGTCTGCCTTCGGCTCAGGTCATGATCCCACGGTCTTGGGATCGAGCCCCGCATCGGGCTCCCTGCTCCGCAGGAGGCCTGCTTCTCCCTCTTCCACTCCCCCTGCTTGTGTTCCCTCTCTTACTATGTCTCTCTCTGTCAAATAAATAACATCTTTAAAAAAATTTTTTTTGAAAGATTTTATTTATTTATTTGCGGGGGGCAGGGTGGAGAGTACAAGCAGGGTGAGTGTGAGAGGGAGAAGCAGGCTCCCTGCTGAGCAAGGAGCAGGACGTTGGACTTGATCCCAGGACCCTGGGATCATGACCCAAGCTGAAGGCAGACACTCAACCAACTGAGCCACCCAGGTGCCCCTAAAAATAAAAAATCTTAAAAAATATATCCATCACTAAATACAAGGTATGAAGGCTTATCCCTATATTTTCTTCTAAGATTTTCTATGGTTTTAGCTTTTATATTTAGGTTTTAATCTATTTTGAGTTAGTTTTTGAATATGGTGTGAGGTAGGGGTCCAATTCCATTCTTTTGCATGAGGAAAGACACCTGAGTTTACTTAGTGCCATTTGTTGAAGAGACTGTCCTTTCCCCATTTGGTGGACTTGGTACCTTTGTAAAAAACCTATTTGTCACAGATATATGAGTTTATTTCTGGACTCTCAATTCTGTTTCATTGGTCAATATGTCTGTCCTTATGCCAATACCACACTGTTTTGACTCTCACAGCCGTGTAGTAAATTTTGAAATTGGGAAGTGTGAGTCTTTTCTTTTTTTAAAGATTTTTTATTTATTTATTCATTAGAGACAGAGAGAGAGAGAGAGGCAGAGGGAGAAGCAGGCTCCCAAGGAGCAGGGAGCCCAATGTGGGACTCGATCCCAGGACCCTGAGATCATGACCTGAGCCGAAGGCAGATGCTTAACCATCTGAGCCACCCAGGTGCCCTTTTTCTTTTTTTTTTTAAAGATTTTATTTATTTATTTGTGTGAGAGAGAGCACAAGCAGGGGGAGTAGCAGGCAGAGGGAAAAACAGGCTCCCTGGTGAGCAAGGAGCCAGACATGGGACTCGATCGCAGGACCCTGGGATCATGACCTGAGCTGAAGGTGGATGCTTAACCGCCTGAGCCACCCAGGTGTCCCGGCAAGTGTGAGTCTTTCAATGTTGTTCTTTATCAAGATTATTTTAGTCATCCAGGGTCCCTTGTAATTCCATATGCATTTGCAGATTGGTTTTTCCATAGCTGCAAAAAAATCTGTTGGAATTTTGATAGGGATTGTGTTGAATCTGTAGATTGCTTTGGGTGACATCTTGACAATATTAAGTCTTTCTATTCAGGAATACGGGCTGTTTTCCATTTATTTAGGTCTTCTTTAATTTTTTTCGCAATGTTTTATGGTTTTCAGTGTACAAGTTAGTTGTATTTTATTCTTAGGTATTTCATTATTTTAGATGCTACTGTAAATTTAATTGCTTTCTTCATTTCCTTTTTGAGATTGTTCATTGCAGGTGTGCAGAAGCACAACTGATTTTTGTTTTGTTTTAAAGATTTTATTTATTTTGACCGAGAGAGAGTGAGAGAGGAAACACAAGTAGGGGGAGAGGGAGAAGCAGGCTTCCCGCGGAGCAGGGAGCCCGATGCGGGGCTCGATCCCAGGACCCCGGGATCATGACCTGAGCCCAAGGCAGACGCTCAACCACTGAGCCACCCAGGGGCCCCACAACTGATTTTTGCATCTTGTTTTTGTACTCTGCACCTTTGCTGAGTTTGTTAGCTCCAGTAGCTTTCTTGTGGATGTTCCATATTTAGGATCATGTCATCTCTGAAACACATATATTTTTACTGCTTTTTTAACTTGGCTGTTTTTTATTTCTTTTTCTTGCCTAATAGCTCTGACTACAGCTTCCAGTGCAATGTTGAATAGCAGTGGTGAAAGTGAATCCTTGCACAGTGATTTTTGTTCCTATGCATGACCTAGGTTCTTTGGAGTTTCAGGCTACTTTCAGTGGGTGGAGGAACAGGGATTTGGCAGGGTTGGTGGAGAGAGCGCCAACTGAGTCAAGCCACGGTGCGCTGGTAAGCCGTGTGTAGGAGTGAGGCTTCCAGTTTCTGCTCTCGGTCTTATTTCTTGAGCCCTTAAAGCACTTTGTGTACTTGTCTCAGGGAGCGATTCTCGTTGAACAGACGAGGAAAGACAGTTGACGGAGGGTCAGGGAAACTAAATGGTCTGCCTACGTTCGAGAACCCATAAATGGCAAAGCCGGTCCTGCTGGAATTTTTAACGCCACCCAACTGCCCAGGGGGATACAGGTAATTAACCTGTGTAGTAAAGGCGGCAGCTGGAGCCAGAGTAGGAGCCTTCGTCCCGCCTCCGTCGTCAGCCCAGTCTTGCTCCTCCGGCCCTGGGCGCAGCCCTTCCATTGGTTGTCCGGCACAGGGCCCCATGCTCACACGAGGGGAGGCAGCCAATCAGCGCGGCTCGTCTCCGCCCACCCGGCTCGCGCTAGATCGCGTCGTCCTGTCCCTCCCGCGGCACGCCGGGAACTGTAGTCCGATGAGGCCTTTCTGTCTGGAGGGAAGGGAGCTCGGGAACTACCGGACCCAGAGGGCCGCGCGCCGAGCGGAGCGGCTTTCAGGAGTTCCCCGCTAAGACTGGACCTCGAGCCGGGATCCAGCAGCAGGTGAGAGAGGTCTCCGGCCGGGACTGGGGCCGCGGGGGGAGCCTCAGCCGCACTTCCGTGGTAGTACTGGGGGCGCAGGAGCCCCCCCGCCCCGCACTGGGGCCCGGTGTGCCCGGCCGGCGGGTCTTCCGGCTGTGTGAGCCCGCAGCCTCCCCGGCCGCCCTCCTCCTCTCGGGATAACCCCGAGCCTGCACAGCCCCGTCCCCGCCCGCCAGGGGAGACCCGCCCACGTCTTGGAGCCTCAGCTGGCCCTCCATAAAATAGGGCGCTTTAAGGGTCCTCCCAGGCCCTGGTTCTCAGGTACTTTAGTCAGGACTTTCCCAGCTGTGCCCCAGGACTTGGGGGAAGAAGCCAAGAGAGTGGTGATTCCAGAGGCTCCCTGCAGGAGTTGACGGTAGACGGAGAAAGTTAGGTGGCGCTGAGTTGTTTTAAGGGCGCACTGTGTTAAGTGCGACCCGTTGACTTTCAGTCAGCCAGCCGAACTTTTGTTCTTTGCGTTTCCTTCTTTCTGGAAATGCCCTCGGGCTCAGCTCAGAAGAGACCGGTGCATTCTGGGCCCCGAGGTAAAAGGGTGGTGGGGGTGACCTGGGGAGCCGCCACCGTGCATCTGCCTTTGGTGCTTGCCCCTGCAGGGAGTGCTCGGTGCCCCCTCCCTATGCCACCCCCGTGATGCCCCTGTCCCGCTGGCTGAGATCTGTGGGGGTCCTCTTGCTGCCAGCCCCCTGCTGGGCGCCCCGGGAGAGGTGGCTGGGTCCCCTTCAGCGGCCCTCCCTGGTGCACGGGTGCCCAGTCCTGGGGGCCTGGCACAGTGCCCGCTGCTGGTGCCAAGCGTGGACAGAGGAGCCTCGGTGAGTGTGGTGGGGGTGAGGGGCCTTGGGGAGGGGAGCAGCTGCTCAGGTTTCTGACTTGGCTTTCCTCTCCTCAGAGCACTTTACTCCTCCCTCAGAATGAATGGAGACCAGAAATTGGACCCTTATGCCCAAGCAAAGCAGGATTTCATCCAGCATTTCTCCCAGATTGTCAAGGTGCTGACCGAGGATGGCGTGGGCCACCCGGAGACGGGAGACGCCATTGCCCGGCTCAAGGAGGTGAAGGATTGGTGACTTCGGAGACTGAATCTGAAGTGCATTCTCTATATGTGTGGGATCCAGCTGTGGTGTTTGGGGGACCTTTGACACTGGGGTGGGAGGAGGGGCAGGCTTTTACCTGAGTGACTCTGGGTCTCCTCTGGAGGGAGCAGGGCCTGAGCAGGGATAATTACTCAGCCCATCACTCCTGCCTCATGGTTCAGGCAAGCCACACGGACTGCTTTCTGTGCCCCTGGGGGTGAAGGCCTAAAACCTGCTAAGTCTTTGATTTTGTTGAGAAAGGGAATTAGGTCTCCAGAAGTCCTTAAGAGCTACTTTGTCAGGGAGCTGGGAGGGAGCAGCCTGAGGAGCTTCAGGGGAAGCTGGGCATCATCAGAAACTCTCCTCCAGAGGCACCTGGGTGGATCAGTCAGTTAAGCTTCCGACTCTTGGTTTCGGCTCAGGTCGTGAACTCTTGAGTCGTGAGATCAAGCCCCGTGATGGGCTCTGCTTAAGACTTTGTCTCCCTCTCCTTCTGCCCCTCCCCACTAAAATAAATAAATAAATCAAAAAAAGAAAAAAGAAATCTCTGCTCCAGGGCAGGAAATTTGGCTGGGATATTTGAGTTGCCTAATTTTTTTTTTTTATTATTTTGGGGTATCTAGTAATTCTTTTTATAAATACTCTCATTTGTCTGAGGAGAACCGAGGAAAAGGTTTGCCTATACGGGGGTGGAGATTAAAAGGGAGGTTTTCCCAGTGCATTTGAGCTGGTGGACAGCAGGGCAGCAGAAGGCAAAAGGAGAGCTCCCAGCAGGAAGAGATACCACCAGGTCCCCTCCTGAGCTCTCTTCTGGCCAACTTTGGGGACCTTGTCTTTCATGCAGTGAGCAAGGCTTTTCATTTGCAGATGGTTTGCACTGTGGGTAGGAGGAGGTGGCTGGGAAGTCTAGGAGAGGTGGGGATGAGGCTGGAACCTGGGAGGGAGAAACCTGAACGTGCCAGCCATTCCCATGGCATGTACAAAGTTTTCCCTGGGTTCAAGCCTATTCTGGGCTTGGGAGCAGATTTTAATGTGCAGTATGGAGCCTTTAAATTTACTGAGGATTGAGGCACCTGGCTGGCTCAGTAGAGTGTGTGACTCTCGATCTCAGGGTCATGAGTTCAAGCCCCATGTTGGGCATGGAGCCTACTTAAAAGAAAAAAATGTACTGAGGAAGACCATGCAGAGAGAGCCTGGGGGTGGGGGGACTCTTCCAGTGGTGCCCCAGGATTTGGGGGAAGAAGCCAAGAGTCGCAATTCCAGAGGTTACGGGAGGAGGAGTGGGGCCTGAGGAGGTTAAAATCCAGTCCGGGTTGGAAGCGGGAGAGGGCAGGGAAAAATGTTTAGAGTAGGTGCTCTGCGGAACCTGGTGCCTTTTCCGTCTTCCCTTGCCCCCAGGTCTTGGAGTACAATGCGATTGGAGGCAAGTACCAGCGGGGTTTGACTGTGCTGATAGCATTTCAGGAGCTGGTAGAGCCAAGGAAGCAGGATGCTGATAGTCTCCGGCGGGCCCTGACTGTGGGCTGGTGTGTGGAACTGGTAAGAGGGACAAGGGAAAGGCAGGAGAAGCAGAGGTTTTCCTAGGGTGGGGGTGTCCTGGGGGGAAGGGGAGGGATGAGCTTGAAACGAATTTCTCCCTGTGTTTCTGTCCATTAGTAGTCAAGTTTAGACAGTGATTTACTCTAAGAGTTAACAAATGTGGGGAACCTCTTTGCCAGTAGGTATGTATTTAGTCTATAAACTAAGCTGTGGACCAGGGCCTTGGGACTGGGCATAAAGGAGTCAGTTCTTTCCTCTGAGCAGAGGGTAACTATCAGAGTGACAGTTCTTCCAGAGGATGTTCTAAAGCAGAGATTGAAAATTTGCAGCCCGGGCGCCTGGGTGGCTCAGTTGGTTAAGCGACTGCCTTCGGCTCAGGTCACGATCCTGGAATCCCAGGATCGAGTCCCGCATCGGGCTCCCTGCTCAGCGGGGAGTCTGCCTCTCCCTCTGACCCTCCCCCTTCTCATGTGCTCTCTCTCTCTCAAATAAATAAATAAAATCTTTAAAAAAAGAAAAGAAAAGAAAAGAAAACTTGCAGCCCACCGATAGTTTTTGAAAATGAAGTGCCCTAGGGGCGCCTGAGTGGCTCAGTCATTAAGTGGCTGCCTTCGGCTCAGGTCATGATCCCAGGGTCCTGGGATCAAGTCCCACATCGGGCTCCCTGCTCGGTGGGAAGCCTGCTTCTCCCTCTCCCACTCCCCCTGCTTCTGTTCCCTCTCTCGCTGTCTCTCTCTCCATCAAATAAATAAATAAATAAAATCTTTAAAAAAAAAAAAAAAAAAGAAAATGAAGTGCCCTAAACTTAGGAAAGAAGAGCTGTCACATAAAAACCCAGGTTTCTGACATCACTTGGGAAATTGCTAGATCTGCGCCCAGGGTCCCACGCAGCATCAACTGGCTGATGTTGAATCATAAACCCTTCCGCAAGGTGGGGCATGGGCGCTCCTGTGTGGCTCTGTCTCTCTGCTTTGCTCCAGTCCCCGTGTGTCCTTGTCTCCCGTACCCAGCTCATTTGCCCCTTAAAGGGGTATGGTTTCCTGGCCTAGCCTAAAAGCTTCATTAGTGACAAGGAGACTGGATTCTAGGAGGGGAGCCAGGCCCCGAGGACGGTGGCAGTGAGCTCAGAAGGGAAGGCACTTAGGACCTGGCCTGTGGAAAGGGGCAGCTGCCTCAAGGGAGGGTGTGACGTGCTCAGGGTCAGCCACGCTGCCTTCTCGACCCGGGCAGTGCAGGTGGAAGTGTCTGGCCTGTGGGTGTTGGAAATTCCAGTCTGGAGCTTGTAAGTGAGATGGGGTTGGGGAAGAGGGATTTGCCTCCAAGGAGGTAAAGGGACAGTGGCATCACTGGGGGACAGGGCCCTGGGGGACCGAGGAGCCCATATGCACAGACGCCAGGCAAGGCAGGGAGGCCAGGAGGATCCCGGCAGAGCAGAGGATCAGAGCTCTGGGGCCAGGGCGGGTCACCTGGTCGAGTGAAGTGTCCTGACTTCTAGCCGCCCCGTAGGTTCACCAGGGAGTGCTCGGGGATTTTTAAACATGGCTGCAATGCTGACATTTCCCCAAGATGCCTTTTGAGCTGTGTCCGCCATTGTTTTCACTTGGGTGACTTTGGTTACAGTTTCTGCTTTTGTCTTTCTCCTCCTGCCTCTTGTCCTTCAACCTCTTATTATCTGTTTCAGCGTTTACCTCCTAGGAACAAGGCCATTCACCTGCGTGAGCACAGTGCCATTGTCCCGTCTGTCTTGGCTCACTTGGGCTGCTACAACAAAATAGCACACACCGCGTAGCTTATAAAGAACAGAAATTTATTTCCTAGACTTCTGGAAGCTGGAAGTCGAAGATCGAGGTCCCAGCATGGCTGGGGGGGGGGGGGGGGCTCTTCTGGCTCAGCAGCACCTTCCTGCACAGCCCCTGGTGGTGCAAGGGGCCAGGCAGCTCCAGAGCGTCCGTCAGGAGGGCCCTGGAGGCCCCACCACCTCATACCATCGTCTTTGATGGTTAGGATTTCAACATTTGGGGGGACACATTCAGACCATAGCACCAGTAATATTACCTAATGTATATTCCAGATTTAAATATTCCTAATTCTCCCCAAAATGTCTGTTCTAAGTTGGCTTTGTTTTGTTTTGTTTTTTAAAGATTCTATTTATTTGACAGAGAGAGAGCACAAGCGTGGGGGGAGTGGCAGGCAGAGGGGGAGGGAGAAGTAGGCTCCCCGCTGAGCAGGGAGCCCGACGCGGGGCTCGATCCCAGGACCCCGGGACCGTGACCTGAGCTGAAGGCAGACGCTTAACCGACTGAGCCACCCAGGCGCCCTTGTTTTGTTTTTAAACATCTAGGATCCAATCAAGAATAATGTACCGTATTTGGTCGTTCTTCAATCTTTAATCTTTAGAATAGTCCCTCTACCGTAATTGACTAATACTGTGGCTAGATTTCTCATTTAATTGATCTGGGGTGACTCTGACACTGGTATTCTTTTTTTTTAAGTTCCCCTAATAAATAGAAAGTGCATTTGGGTTAAGAACCACTGCTGTGGGGCAGAGGAGGTTGAGGGACACCAGGAATGATGCTCTTCGGAGACTGTCTTGGTTGAGTGGTGCTGGTTGAAACCAGGTGGGAGAGACAGTGGACCAGTGGCTTAGCGGAACCAAGTGAACACTCATAATAAAACACATGCCTCCGGTGTGGAAAGCCCAGACCCTGCCCAGCGTGTGGTCAGAGGTAAAGATGCAGATGGGTGCCTCCTTCCCCAAGGATTCACTGGGAACAAGAGCAGTGACCGCCGCAGTCCCTTCCGCACTCTGCACGCCAGAGCCGATGGGCAGTGTCGGGTGCTCCAGGCAAGGCAGACCCGCTAGCGCACACGCACAGATCAGGACGGAGTGAAGATTAAAAACCACGTCCTGAAAAGCTGTTTTTAAAGGCTCGGAAGGTGTAGCCTAAATGCAGGAAGTCTCACAGGGTACGTGACAGTGTCTCACGTTCATTAAATAGGCATTTAGGACACACCCATTCTGGGGCTAGTGCTGGGCTTGGCTCTGGGAATGCCAGGGGGGCAAATGTCCTGGCAGTCTGCTGGGAAAACCAGCCCGTTCTGGGACCCTGAGGTGGCCTAGCACCTAGAAGAGAGGCCCGCGGCTGACGCTGGTGTGGCTGCGTGTTTAAGACCCGTGGCTGAGCGTGACCGAGTCAGACTGCAGTTCTGTCCTATTAGCGCTGCACCCCTAAATGAGCTTCGAGGTGGGGCTCTGTCCTGGGCACTGGCGTGTGTAAGCGGAGCGCCTCAGGGCGACACAGGAACAGCCTCCTTTTATTGCAGAAGTCCCGGAAAGTCACACTGCAGGAAGAAGTCTCAGGTATTCACTGAGGTTCTTGGCAGAAGAAGAGTAGCGGACGCAATGCTTCATCGCCTCCCTGACACCAGGACTGTCTAGGGCTGCTTGTGAGGGGACAGATGTCTGAGATCTGGCGGAGTCTTTGATGTTACCGTTGGGAAGCCTGAACCAGCGAGGTCACATAATTTCCTTAAGTCCCACAGCACAGAACAGAAGCCCTCGCGCTCGCTGGCCTGACTTCCGTCCTCGCTCGGTGATGAGCAACGGTAGCAGCTCTGTTGCTGGTTGAAGGAGCTCTATAGTGAGGAGCCCCAAGGGTCTGATTCCACTGTGCCTTCTCCTCCTAGCTGCAGGCTTTCTTGCTGGTGTCCGACGACATCATGGACTCGTCCCTCACCCGACGGGGGCAGATCTGCTGGTATCAGAAGGTACAGTGGGCGGGAAGGTAGCGGTGGGCACGGGACAGGCCCCCGGGAGCTGGTGCACAGAGCATACCGAGGTGTTCAGAGTGGCCGAGACTGAGGGCTTGTTTTTCTGCGTGCCCCTGCCAGCCAGGCATAGGTTTGGATGCCGTCAATGATGCTTTGCTTCTGGAAGCCTGCATCTACCGCCTGCTGAAGCTCTGCTGTCGGGAGCAGCCCTATTACCTGAGCCTGATTGAGCTTTTCCTGCAGGTGCGCCGTGGGCCGTTGGCCCGGGGGATAGCTAGGTTTGCCTGGAAGGGGCAGAGTGGGCCAAGGTGCTGGGCAGGGCGGCGGCAGAGAGGGCTTCCCCGTGTCCTCGAGGCGGGAAGGAGGGCTGAGAAAGCGCTATGTCTGTGTGCATGTGGGCCCTCCACCTCTCACTGCCTTTCTCTCTGCCCGTGCTGTGGGCTGCGGGGCCCTGGATTCCAGGGTTTCCTGGCCCCAGAGAAAGCCCAGCTGATGGGCCATCTTCCTCCTCCTTAGAGTTCCTATCAGACCGAGATCGGACAGACCCTGGACCTCATCACAGCCCCCCAGGGCAATGTGGATCTTGGCAGATTCACTGAAAAGAGGTGAGGGACGGGGTAACTGTCTGGCCAGTGAGGTAGGGCTCTGCTGGGCACTGCCCTTCTGAGGACCTTACCTTCTCCCCCTACTCAGGTACAAATCTATTGTCAAGTACAAGACCGCTTTCTACTCGTTCTATCTTCCTGTGGCGGCTGCCATGTACATGGTGAGTGAGTCTCCTGCCCCTTGTTGCCCACTGATGGGGCTTTTGGACAGAGGGCACAAAGCAGACAACTTTGGACAGTCTGCTGCCCCCACTGTGTGGCCTGTGACCCTGGGCAAGTTACTTAAGGTCTGAGGATGTCTTCTCAGCTGTACGATGGTGAAGTTCCCTCCTTTGGATTTTTGTGAAGTTCTATGCGAGTGGCCAGCCCGTCCTCCATCTGGGTCTGGATGGGAGGGGGGAGGAAGTTCACGCTGAGAGGAAGAAGACCGGGTCCAAAGGCAGGCGGTGGGATTTCCTGCCCGCCCTGACCTCGCTTCTCCAAGTTCCCCTTTGATCGGGAAGAAGCTGGAGGAAGCAGAAGGCGCTGGAAGAGTGAGTCAGGGGCTGGGCACGTGCCAGCCTCCAGAGCTGACTTCGTCCCTGCTGGCTCACACCGGAGGGCCTCGCCGAAGGAGGTGGGCTGGAGGTCAGACCACCCAGATGTCCTGGAGCCCGGAAGCCAGGGATGTCTGAACGGAGAGGGGAGAGGATTTGGGGGCTGCGTCAGGGCGCCCTGGGAGATGCAGCAAGGAGAGTGAAGGCGCCCGTGGTGTTTGGCTTATAGATCCCCTTTTCACTGTAGGCGGGCATCAGTGGGGAGAAGGAGCATGCCAATGCCAAGAAGATCCTGCTGGAGATGGGGGAGTTCTTTCAGATTCAGGTAGGAAGGCATGGGCAGGGAGCAGGCCACAACTGCCCTAGGGCCCTGCCCTGGGGTCTCTTCATTTGTCCAACTCTGCCCCCTGCCCAGGACGATTACCTCGACCTCTTTGGGGACCCCAGTGTGACAGGCAAGATTGGCACAGACATCCAGGACAACAAATGCAGCTGGCTGGTGGTTCAGTGTCTGCAGCGGGCCTCTCCGGAACAGCGTCAGCTCCTTCAGGTGCCCGGGAGGCCGCGGATCGCCGAGCTCCCAGGAGCGGGCCAGAGCAAGGACGTCAGCCGGGTGGGGACGTTTGGCAGCATCAGCAGACATTGTCTGCCACGTGCCACAGGGATCTCGAGTGGGGGGAGGCCGGGAAAGCCGCCCGACATGCTCCGATGCGCACGACAGCTTCCCGCAGAGAGCTAGCCGGCCCCGGCGGCGGTAGGGGCGGGCAGAGGAAACTGAGGCCCGAGCCGGTTTCGGAGCGTGTGCGGCGGGGAGGGGGCAGTTCCAGGTCGCGGGCCCTCCGGGACCCTCGACGCTGGAGGCTGGAGTGTACGGATGTCGGGCGTGCTGGGCGGGGCTGAGCCGACTGCCCTGCCTCCCGCCCCTTGCAGGAGAATTACGGGCAGAAGGAGGCGGAGAAGGTGGCCCGCGTGAAGGCGCTGTACGAGGAGCTGGGCCTGCCCGCCGTGTTCACGCAGTATGAGGAGGACAGCTACCGCCACCTGATGGGCCTCATCGAGCAGTGCGCCTCGCCCCTGCCCCCCGCCATCTTCCTGGCGCTGGCGCACAAGATCTACAAGAGGAAAAAGTGACCTGCAGACTGCGTGGGCGGGAGGGGGCCTCTCAATAAATTGTCGAAGCTGCGTGTGGTTCTGTGGCTGCTTGTGCTAGCCGGGGGCGCAGCGCCGTCCGCAACGGGCAGGGTTGGGGGTGGCCGCGGAAGGCGGGACCTGGGGCTTGCCTTCAGGACCCCTCGGCACCGAAAGCTGCGGGCCGGCCCGGGTGGTGACACGCACGACGTCAAGCGGTGGGGGCTGGGCCCGGGCCCCGCCCCGCCCATGCGTGAAGGGGCGCGGCTGCGCAGCGCCGGCGGGTTGTCCTAGCGCCCCCCTTCCAGTCGGCGCGGTCCGGCGGGGACCTTGGGAGTCGTGGACGAGCCCAGCTGCGGCGCTTGCAGGAGGACCCTGGTGAGGGGGGCTCGGCCATGGGTGTGGATAGACGCTTCGGGGCCCGCCAGGTGGGGCGGGAGAGGGGGGCAGTAAAATCGCACAGGGGAGGAGTGGGGTGGCGCCTGGGTGACGGAGACAAGCGCGGGGAGAGCGGCAAGCGCAGGGTCCGAGCCGGGGTCGGCTGGCCCACCTGCCCCGCGGACCTGACTCGCTGACGGATGCTCGGCCTTTGCCCCCACGCCCGCCCCTCTCCTGCATTTAGCCAGCCAGACGCGTCTCCCCCGCCCCACCCCGTTTCGGGGCATCTGGGCGGGGCCTCCCTCGGCCCCTTCCTCTGGGAGCGAAGGGCAGGCGAGGGAAGTGGGGAGGGGGGGCGGGGCAGGGCCAGACTGCAGCAGAGAGGATCCGGGGCTCCATTCTAGGCCCCATCCTTTTTCAAGCCCCCGCACCTCCACGGAGATCCAGAGCGCAGCCGCATTCTCTGACCCTCCCCGCCCCAGTCCCGGGGGGCTCCCTTCGGCTCCACCTGCAAACACTGCAGTGGAAATTAAGGGTCAGTCGATGGACATTTGCGTCTCATTTAAATATCGTCCAAAGCGGCCGGCGCCTTTCATGCGCGCTGCAGCTGTCCGTCACCTCGGTGTCCTTCTGGCGGCCCGCGTCCTCTCTGGCTGGGTATCACTCTCCCTGTCTTCCAGGTCTGCAGCTGCGGTTGCCAGGTAGGCGGGTGTGAGAGGCCCGATCCTCCTGATTCTCGAGGCCGCCCCGTCGTCGCCTGCACAATGCTGTCCCCTCAGAGGGCTTTACTCTGCAACCTCAACCACATCCACCTCCAGCATGTCTCCCTGGGCCTGCACCTGTCCCGCCGCCCTGAGCTCCGGGAGGGGCCCTCGAGCACATCCCCTCCCCCCGGGGACACCGGGGGCAAGGAGAGCCGGGGGCCCTGCAGCGGGGCCCTGGTGGACGCCAATTCCAACAGCCCAGCTGTGCCCTGCCGATGCTGCCAGGAGCACGGGCCAGGCTTAGAAAACCGGCAGGACCTAGCACAGGAGGAAGAGGGGGCCGCCTCTCCCTCGGACCCGGGCTGCTCCTCTTCTCTCAGCTCCTGCTCCGATCTTAGTCCCGATGAGTCCCCCATCTCGGTGTACTCGCGGGGCCTCCCTGGCGACGAGGATATCCACCCTCAGCCCAGCATCATCCCCCTGGAGCAGGGATCCCCACTGGCTTCCGCAGGCCCTGGCGCCTGCTCTCCGGACAGCTTCTGTTGCTCGCCCGATTCCTGCTCCGGAGCATCCTCCCCACCGGGCCTTGGCCTGGACTCCAACTGCAACGCCCTGACCACCTGCCAGGACCCCGCTTCCCCAGGGCTAGAGGAAGAGGACGACGGTGGGGAGCAGGACCTCCCTGCCTCCGAGCTCCCAGAGGCGGATGATGGGAAAGCCGACGCTGGGAGAACCGAGCCCAGTTGGAAAATCAACCCCATTTGGAAAATCGACAGGGAGACAACTGACGCGGGCTGGAAAACCACGGAGAACAATAACTCCGGCTGCACAATCAGTGGGAATACTAACTCTAGCTGGAAAACGGAACCCGGAAAACTCGACTCCAGTTGGAAAAGCAGCACAGGAACAACTGACTGCCGCTCGAAAACAGATGCGGGGTGGCGGAGTGACGTCAGCGAGGAGCCGGCGTCCCGCCGGACGATCACGTCCTTCCACGAGCTGGCCCAGAAGCGCAAGCGGGGCCCGGGGCTGCCCCTGGTGCCGCAGGTCAAGAAAGACCGCAGCGACTGGCTCATCGTCTTCTCGCCCGACAGCGAGCTGCCCCCCAGCGGCTCGCTGGGCGGCCCCCCGGCACCGCCCCGGGAAGTCACCACCTTCAAGGAGCTCCGCTCCCGGAGCCGCGCCCCGCCCCCGCCGGTGCCGCCCCGGGACCCTCCGGCCGGCTGGGCCTTGGTGCCGCCCCGGCCCCCGCCCCCGCCCGTGCCGCCGCGGAGAAGGAAGAACCGGCCGGGGCTGCAGCCCATCGCAGAGCGGCCGCCCGAGGAGGGCAGGGCGGGCAGCCCCGCGGCGGGCCGGGAGGCCCCCGCCGCCCGGGAGCCCGAGGAGTCGGGCGCGCAGGCCGGCCGTGCGGGTAAGCGGCCGCGGGGAGCCGCGGGGGGGGGGAGGGCGGGGCGGGGCCGAGCTGCGGCCTCGGCCCCGCCCCCTGCCCGCCCCGCCCCCTCCGTCTGTGCCGCCCGCCCCCCCGCCGCCGGCGAGCGCTCCGGGAGGGGCCCTGGGGGGCCGCCGGGCTACGGCACTAACTCTCTGCTCCCTCTTTCTCCGCCCGCCCCGCCTGGCTGCCGCCCCGCCCCCGCCGCCCCGCCCCCGCCCCCGCTGCAGCCGGCCTCCCCCCGCCGCCCCCGCCCCCCGCCCCGCGGTCCGCGGCCGCCGCGCGCCCCCTGCTGGAGGGCGCGGGCGCGGCGGGGACCCCGCTCCCGGCGCGTCCGGCCGGCCCGCCCCGCGCGGGGCTGCGGCAGCTGGGCGCGCCGAGGCCCCCGCAGAAGCCGCTGCTGCCCGTCCGCCTGTCCCCGGTGGGCGCCCACTCGCCCCCGGCTCGGGGGGCCCTGCCCTGCCTGGCCAGCCCCGAGCTGGCACTGCTGCTGTCCCCGCTCTTTCCCAGAAGCAGCGCCTTCCCCGCCGCGGCCCCCCCGCCCCGCCAGGTGCCCGCCCCCCCGCTGCCACCGCCGCCGCGCCCGCCGAAGGGCCCCCGCCGGACCAGGAGCCCGCCGCCTCCGCCCAGGCTACGTAAGACGGACCCGGGCCAGCCCGCGGGGGTCGCCGCGCCCCCCGCGGCGGACCTCCGCCCCCAGCGTCCTCGGGGAGGCGGCGCGGCCCCGCCCGCCAGCGGGGGGCCTCTGGCCCCGCCCCCCGCCGCGGGGCTGGGCCCTGGGCCTCGAGGCCCGGGCGTGGGGGGCGCGGGCTGAGGGGGTGCCAGCAAGTGCACGGCCCGGGGCCTGCGCGGTGCCGGGGCGTGGGGGGCGCTGGGGCCTGGCCCCCGCCTCGCTCGGGAGGGTGGGGGAGAAGCGGGCGCCGGACTCGGGTGGGCCCACGCCCGCGCCTCCCAGCCTCCCGACCCCGGGGTCGCCTCTCCCTCCGCGTCTCCTCCCACTCCCGCCGGTCTGTCTGGCTGTCCGTCCATTGGTCCCGGCCCCCCACGTGCTCCCGCGGCTGCCCCCCCTCCACGGGCCCAGCGGGCGGGGCGCGCGGCGTCCCGCCCGGGGCAGACGGGGCGGAGGTCGCCGCCCGGCCCGAGAGGGGGAGGGGACGGCGAGTGCGGGGCGCCCCACCCAGCCGGGGCCCTGTCCCTGCTCGCTTCGGCCCGCGGCGCTGCGGGCCCTGGGGCGCCCTGTGCGCCAGCCCGGCGTCCTCGGGTCACCGTCGTGAGCGTTTCCGCGTTCTTCCTTCACCCCAGCCCGGAGTTCCCGGTCGTTCGCCGGCGCCCCCGGGGCCCAGCGACGGTGGATGGCAGAAGCCCAGAGCGGGACGGGCCAGCTGCAGGAGCAGAAGAAAGGTAGGGCGCCCGGACTCCTGACCCCGACTTCCACCAGGTCAGCTGCTGCTGGTTTGGGCCCTCGGCTCCGGGGCCGGCCTGCGGGAGCCTGGGTGCCCCGGGGCCCTGGGGTGGGCGCGGGCACGGGCGCCGCACCGACGCGCGCTCCGTGCCCGCCCCTCGCAGGGCTCCTGATAGCCGTGAGCGCCTCGGTGGACAAGATCATCTCGCACTTTGGGGCCGCCCGGAACTTGGTTCAGAAGGTGAGGGTGCCGCTGCGGAGGCCCTGGGGCCGCACGAACGGGGGGCGGGGAGGCGGCCGCCGGCGCCCGGGACAGGTCCGTTGTGTCGCCCCCAGGCCCAGTTGGGGGACAGCCGGCTGAGCCCAGATGTGGGGCACCTGGTGCTGACCACCCTCTGTCCGGCCCTGCACGCCCTGGTGGCCGACGGGCTGAAGCCCTTCCGGAAGGATCTCATCACTGGGCAGCGCAGGACCAGCCCCTGGAGCGTGGTGGAGGCGTCGGTGAAGCCAGGTGCGGCGCGGGCGGGGCGCGGGCGGGGGCGCCGGGCGGGCCTGGGCCGGGCTCAGAGCGCGGTGTCCGCAGGCGCCGGCAGCCGCGCGCTGGGGACCCTGTACAGCCAGGTCAGCCGCCTGGCCCCGCTGAGCAGCAGCCGCAGCCGCTTTCACGCCTTCATCCTGGGCCTCCTCAAGTGAGTGGCCGCTCCCCTGGCGCCCCTCCCACGGCCTGGGGCCCGCACGGGTGTCACGGGCGGGAGGGGCCCGGTGCTGGTGGCCTTGTCCCTCCTGGAAGCTCGTCCCCCGTCCTGCGCCCTCCCGAGCCCGCGCTGTCCTCTCTCCCCTAGCACGAAGCAGTTGGAGCTGTGGTTTTCCAGCCTCCAGGAGGATGCAGGTCAGACGCCGGAGGGCACGGGGGCTGCCAGCCTAGGAGGGAGGGAGGGGCGCGCTGTCTCCGCTGCTGGTCCCAGCGAAGCCAGAGTGACCTCGATCCCCGTGTCCACTTGCATTACTCTGTGCCGCACACATTTAGTGCGTCCCTTTGCCCCACAGCAGGAAAGACCCATATCCTCCCCCAAACCTCCAGAGTCCGCTTATCCTCCTCTTCCTTCTTCCCCTGCCTCCCGGGCTCTCCTGCCCCAGGGCC